TGTATAGTTAATAATAAATATATTGAGAATATCTATCATTCTGCCAAGTTTTGGTACAAAATGTTGTATAAATATTTTTTTATAATTTTTTTAAAAATAGTAAGCCAATTTCACTCAAAAGCCATGCCTTAATCACTCTGAGACAGCAGCAGTAAACAATCTTTATTCCTCTAAGCAACAGCTTTGACACAGCCTCCCAAAAGAGAATATACAGTGTTGCACTGTCTACTTCTTTAGTTGGCCAGTGTACAAAGGGAAAACGAAAACCAGTATTGCCAAGGAACACAAACTGACAAACATGATTTGCCAATTCTGCCTTTAAGCATCTTTGCTGTCTTTGTTTGTCCACTATTGCATGTCTCTCTTGACTCTTGTGCTTAACCTCCTCAAGTACTCTTCCAATCATAGAAGTTGTAAAACCTGGCAATTTCTCCTTCAACACTTTGTCAGACAATGGCAAATTCCCCTCAACACACGTTGCTTGGCGAGCATGTGAAGAACGTGATTGCAGATGACCCCAACGATCAGCCAGATGATAGGATTGTAACTAGAGAGATTCAGTGCAGACACAGCTCACTAAAAAAACAGATAATTCCAGAAGTACACCACATAACGATAATGTCGTTCACAACAGCCAGTATTACAATTTAGCATGCACATTTTCAAGTGCTTTTCTAACAGATAGATAACCGTAACTTTTAAACAACGACTATATTTTTAAGTAGATTTACACACAAAGTCCACTGAGTTAACAGGCTATTCAATTAGCTTAACAATGCCAAACGTAGAAAAACAACTCCGTTGAATATAAAGAACAATATCTCTCAGTAGCAAACGCAAACGTAGCAACTTACCCGTCCAACGAAATATTTCATCAGTGCCTAACCATGTTTAATGGCAAAAATTAAAGACGATAAATACGGAAACTGCGTTACATAAAACAATCTGCGTAGAACAATATCGAAGACAAATATCACAGCTTGCTCACTCTTGTAGAACAAAAATATAAATTAAGCTGAAGCCACAAGTACAGGGAATAAACTCGAAGGCTTGAGACCTTGATAAATTAACTTGAGAATAATAATCTTGCTCACTGTAGACTTAAGTGGAAATCGACAACCTTGCTCTGCTACAAAATGTTGTCAGACTTAATACACCGTGGAAGCATTTTAGTTGGTCTCTCCTTTATTTGTCTCCTATGCGCCGTTAAGTAGTCTATTTTATGTCTCATGGGACCCGACGCGTAAGTTCACAGGTATTATATCATACATTATATAATCGTACACAACAATAGTTTGGCATTTCTGATCATTTACTATTGACGCAAGAAAGAAAATACGTGTGGTGTGTGATATTGAAGAAAAAGGAGGGGAAATAATTTCGTTGCCTGCGTTTCAAGTTGGGAAACAAACTGAGGGGATATCCAAAGGTACTTTTAAAATCTCAATTTCCCATGTGGATTGATAGAACTAATTTTGTTAGAAAAAATCCTGGATTACAAGAGCTGATGAACGTTTGAATTTTAGAGTCAGTCTTCGATGAGGCAGCAAACAAAAGCATTGATAACGATCAAGACCCTAGGGAGATCGCGTAGCGACTAAAACCTCCGCTCAACAGCACTCTCTGATAACCTCAGCCAGTCACTATTAGAAATGCCAATTACAGCTAGTCGAGCAATTTGTTCGCAAATTGTACAATTTTTAGCAAGTGAAGAGAAGCAATTAAGACGGCTCAAAATTGTCAAATGTAAAAAAATACTTGATGAGGATTGTGTGACAAGCGTGACGGCTAGTCACGTCATAAATTTATCTTGTGACGAATGTCAGTGACAAACGTATGCATTATCTCAATAATGCCAGATATTTAGATGCAAGTTTCTTCAATCTTATTCTGAATTCTTTTGTTACAATACGTATAGGTAAATGATTTTGTTTTGCCGTAAATGTATGGAAACACAAATAGTCACACTTGTCAACTAGTGATATNGTCGTTTTCAGACTACGTTTCGAAAACCAGCTAACCTTTTTTTTTACCAGAGATATTTAGCAATGTTGACAGGCCAATTTTAGTAATTGCATATTTTTGTTTCAATTTGTCAGCGTTTAGATGACGACCATAGATTTTCATCGTACCAAATTGGCAAAATCCTGTCGCGTTTGTGGTCAGTATAGTGGCGATAAATGTAACAAATATTATCATAACATAAATAGCCCGGAAACAATCAAGAAAATTCAAGTAACTTTTTGGTATAGATGTCACGGACGACCATGAAGACACAAAAATGTTGCAACTGTTGTTATGCCAAGTGTATTAAGGCTGAAAAAGGAAACTCTAAAACAACACAGATACCTGTCACCTGGCATAAACATACCGATGTGGACTGCTCAACCTGTACTCGGTTTTTGACTCAATCAAAAGGAGGAAGAAAGAGGAAAACCACCATACCTGGTCGGCCAAGCGAAGTTGAAAAAAAGCAACAAAGATTAGAAAACGTCTCTTCTTCAGTCAAAATCTCGCAATCCATTATCCCTCCTCCGTTAATGTCTCCATTTCCAGAAATACCTCGTTTTGTAAACCTCCCTCCTCATGACCTGCTATGTCCTATATGTAAAGAAGTTCTCAACCAGCCAGTGCAATCATCTTGTGAACACAACTTTTGTAGTATATGTGTTCAATTGATCACTCAGGCAAAAGTGCCCCGTGTGTAGTCACGAAATAACACCTTGTACGTTTGTGAACATTCCTAGAATTGTTCTAAACATTATATCATCACTATTAGTTTCGTGTGCCAAGTGCAAAAATCCCTATCAACTTGACCAGTTACAAAACCATCAAACTGAGTGCAATCGCTATGAAACTGAACGAGTAACGACAACAATTCCACATGTCCTTGATCAACCCATAACGACGCCCTTGTCTGATGTAGAGGAAAAGTTGGCAACTCATTTGTTGAAAAGGAAAATTGTATCAGCAGATACCTCACACATAGTGATGAAAACTGGAGGCAGTGTAAGTGTGTTATGTAAAAGCTTTATACATGTCTGTTACAGGGTAGGATCCCTGCGGTGTGCATCCCATGGGCTCAACAAGCATAAAGCTTGTCAGTGTTCCAATTTTTTTTATTTGATGTATTACATCATGGTGCAACCCCTCAATAAAATCATGGATATGCATATATTTGTAGGGTCATGTCTCAATAATCAGGAAAGGTTACTTATCCCTTAAGCAGCTGGATCTGTCACTATTTAATTAAGATAGACATTAATGAAAAGAATTTCCAATCTTCAGCNGAAAAGCAGGGAAAAAAGGCAAAAACTAGCAAAAGAGGTATTATAACAAAATAAATTTTAACATGAGGCAGCTTATAAGTTGAAAGTTGCTACTGTTATACAAATTTATTGTCAAAAACATTTTCTTTGTCTTTCTATTGATATCACAGTTAAAAAAACATAACCAGAAATAACAATAAATGTTGGTCTGCCATATGAATAATATAAATAAATATCCATCCTATTTAACAGGCTGGTCTAAGTATTGATATTCTTCCTGGAGATGGCTTAGCCATGAAGTCTGAACTTGGCATTCCTTGGAATAAGATGAGAAACATTAGAAGGTTTATAAGCAAATGATAAGATAATCTGTTATCTAATCAATGAAAATTGATACTTTAGTAATTACCATATGGCTTTATAAACATTAATAATAAATATTTCATTTATTGAAGAAATAAATAATAGATAAATGTTAATTTAATATTAAATAAATATTGTTAACATTTTATAATAATCATTAACAGGTGGCTATCGAGCTTTGGTGTACAACTCTCTAGTGAGAAGAAGCAAAGATTACTTGCCCAATTACTTGATGAAGTTAGTACATTTAAAAAAAGGGTTTTCTTTCTTTTATAAAAACATAACCATGGGCATTTGGCAATACAAACATCAAAATCAAAATATGTACACATAAACATGTAATTAATACACTATCTTTCTTCCTTTTACTAGGTGCACTGTGAGGCTATGCCCTTTGTTTTTTCCAAGGCTAGTCAAGCGAATGAAATTCGTCTGGCGCCTTGTGCTCAAGTAACTAACTTGAGAGCGATGGTTCATGGTCACCTTGAAAAGAATCACAAGTAAYATCAATAAATWGTGCTAGTAACGCATCTACAAAAATGAAATAATACACAGCATGTTGYTTTGCMGTTTTCATAGRTTGACATGGCATGACAACTTGATTCCCTCAGATCAAATTTGGTTGAAGCTGGGTGGGGATAAAGGAGGTAAAGCACATGTGTTTTAAGTTTTAAGTCTTTGTTATATAAAATTTATATAAGTCAAACTATTAATACAATAGATTTTTTCTCAGACTCTTCGCACTTATGGAAAGTAAATGAATTAATCTATTCATTAGTATGTTGATCAGCATTTAATTGCCATCAAATTTAAATGAAGATCTGATGACACAGTACAAGAAGACAGTTTACAAGAGCCAGCAAGACACACTTCAAATACAAAAAAGGCTCCTGTTGGAGCCATAACACTTTTAAAAGTGAATGGTCAATGCTTAACCGATGCACACATATCTGGACATATTTATCTGAACTTCAMTAAATTGGAATAACATTTAATAAAAAAAAAACATGCTATGTCATTGTTTTAATTCATAAACAAGATGTTTACTTCCAGAAAAAAAAACTGATAAGTTAAAAAGTAATTTTTGGGATGACTGGTTGAATTGTGAAATGATAAACGATGATAAATATGAAATCTATTTGAAATTGCTACTCATATATATGAGAAATACATGCAATTACAGTGCTAAAAACCTTTATTACAAAAAAAAAATATCATAAAATTATAAAGGACTGTATATTATGATTTGTCTTGATTATTTTTAAGGTGGAAGTTTTAAAATGGCTTTTGAGCTGGCGAATACAAATAATCCAAATTCAACCAAAAATACTGTAGTCTTCTCACTTTTTGAGGCACCTGATAAACCTCACAATATTAAGCTGGGACTA